GGGTGACCAATATTATTGGTTCCAATAGATTGGGTGACCAATATTATTGGATCCGAATATTATTGGATACCCAATAGTATTGTACAATATCTCCAATAACGATTGGTATTGGTACATGCCTAATTCGAACGGGTCTGACTTCAATCGATGTCCGTGGTACAGTGGTTGCAAAGAAGGCTGTAAGCGGCTGGGAATGAAAGATTGCATCACAATATGTATGAATATTTGCGGATGTCAATAATAACCATATAAAACTATAGAACACACTCAGGTATAATTTTTCTTTGTATTGCTAATTTTTTATTGTTCTTTTAACTTACATGGAATCTCATCAAAACAGACAAAAATGATGTTATGAGCCCATCCCTGTTTCGTTTTTTGTACTGGCTGTTTTTATTTTCTATTTATCAATAAATAAAGCGACAAGAACGCTTTGTTTTTTGTATTTTGATTAAATTACAAATTATACTCTATTGATATCTCGGTAAAGCATGGGTGAGATTACGTCGAACAATGCGTAACAAAAGTAGTCATTACAGTGAAGAGGACAGGGTTGGAGCTGAAATCGAATATTGACTTTCTCACTAGGGAAAAAGATGAATCAATATTTTTGACATTAGTGCAATTATATAAAACATTGAACGGATGTAAACGATGCATATCGATACTCCAAGTACTATTTGAAACAACTTACATGTTCTTTTATTTTTTGCTATTGTTGTGGTTATATCCGACGGTGTAAGGTTGGTACGTAATCCATTCAATATCGGCTTTAGATATTCACGTGCTTCTGGTGTAAAACGATAAATGCGCTTACCAACTAAATATCGTATAATCAGTAAATGTTCTAATGACGGAAGATCAGCATTTACAATTGCCGTTTCTTTGACGAAATTCTTATTGGATATAACCCAATACAAAAATCTTTCATACAGACCTAGCAATAAGAAACGACATAAAAAGGATAATGTGTCTCAAATGGATGCACCGCACTTTGTTGAATGTATAGAAAAGAATAGACGATCTGTTATGAAATTCAGAAGATAAAATTTAACTGACCATTCGATGCTTTTTTATCCGCTATATTTGCTAAAATATCAGGCCATCTGTTACCGATGGTTGGTACTAATATTGTCAAAGATCGATCTTTTAGTTGTTTGGAATAAGTCATTGTTGCTTTGTCATGCTGGTAAACTCCATTAAACGCATTAATAATCATCGTTTGGCATGCATTTGTTTTAACTGATAACGGGTCAAAAAATGCCATATCGTTCAGAGGCTTGTCTTCATCTGACGAAATAAATTTCTGAAAAAAAGCGTTTATTATTCTTTTCAAGTCTTTTCAGGAAATTTGATCTTTGGATGAATATATCGAAGTTTTGTGGGTTTTTATTGTCGAAAAAATATAAGTGGACTTCTGGATCTGATCAAAGTTTTTTAGAAACTTTCTGCCTTTGCGAGAAATTTCATTCAAATTGTAATGATTTTTTTTCAACATTCTTCTATTAAATAAATTTTACACCAAAATTATGAACAACAAAGCAACTTATCATTTTCGAAACCTTTTAATTACGTAAAATTTAAGGTAAAGCCTAAAACTTTCTTCTAACGACGACTTACTGCCTCATACACTTCCAATAAACTTACCGACGACTTCTCCAGAGAATCAGTCAACTTAGCATCGGTCACGTCTTCAATACAACCTGAATGAAAATCACCATTAACTTTGTATTACGCATATATCAAGATGTGTTTATTCCATTGCTTTATCATGAATTATGGGCAGAGTTTAGAAAATCATATAATGGAATTGATCATAGCAATGAACATCAGATAAAAATAAAATTTTACGATTCAAATTATACTGATCAACAATCAAATGATAAAATATTACTAGTACCAAATATGGACACATTATACTGATAATTTAAATTCACAATGTCGAGTTTTATCACCATATGATGTTATTCTATTAACAATTAATAATACTAAATATTTTGGGATTATTGTTTATACAAGACATACACGTACAAAATCGAAAGAAACAGGAGCAACAACAGAAAATGTGAGTGATGATAAATGGACAATTGTTCAACCTAGAAAAGGTGATCATAATGTTGATAAAGTAATGAACATTGTACGATTAACACATCGAACTACAACCAAACGTCAAATTACAGCCATTATGAATCTTTCTCAGTGGCCACAATACAAAAGTTTACTTGCACCAACGCAAAATGATCTATATTATCAACTGGCTGAACAGTTACCTGTAACTATAGACCGTCCTGATTTCAATGAAGAACAGAGAAAAGCAATTAAAGTTGCTGTTAATATGTTTGGTGATATACAAGATCGACTTTTTATACTGCATGGTCCGCCTGGTATGTGCTCATGATCATTTTTTCAAATTGAGTATGAATTTATTTCTCGTTTTTGCTTCTTTCGACAGGCACAGGAAAAAGTAAAACGATTGCAGGCTTAGTTGCTCATCTGTTACAGAAATTACATGATCATAAAAAAATATTATTGTGTGCACCATTTAATAGTGCTTGCGATGAGTTAATGAAGAAAATACTTGAATATTTTAATGATGATCAAGCAATGAAAGGTAAGAGAAAATAGCCGAACAATGTTTGACTCTTTAATTTTGTTTATTAATATTATTTTCTTTCTTTTTCTTTGTAGGTGTACTTGTTCCGTCCACCGGATGATAAACATCTTTGTGATTACTTTTTGGAATATATTGTTTTAACTGAATTATGTCAGAAATTGAAACGTCGTGAAAATTTTAATCGATGTACAATTGAAAAACAAATTGAAAAGAAACTATTAAAAAATGCGCAAATAATTATATCAACATTAAATTATACTGCATCATCACGTTTAAGATTATTAAATAATAGTAAGACAGGTGTCTCATTTATTATTGTTGATGAAGCATGTCAAGCATTCGAAGGTTAGACATTTTTTCAACTGTTTTCCATAAACTTGATTACCTGCATTTATATTTTTTTCTTAAAAATTTTGGCTGATTTATTAATACCATTTCGTTTTGGTTTTGCAAAGTTATTATTTGTCGGTGATCCTCAACAATTATCACCTTGTGTATTATCTGACGCTGGCAAAACCTTGAATCTCTCACAATCGTTACATTTTCGATCAAATGAAGTTTTCCGTTCGATATCATTTAAACCATCAATGATGTTACGAGTTCAATATCGAATGTTGCCTGACATAGAGTTGTTTCCTAATGAACACTTTTATGACAGTCAATTAACTTATGGTGGCGTACATCAATCTTATCCGTTAAAACCGTTATTCCATGTTAATATTCAAGCATTGAATCATAAACATGATGCTTTTAAATCAGCTTACAATGTCGTAGAAGCAAGAATGTTAACAAGAGTTTGTCGGTTAATAGTTTTATGTTTAAGTGGAAATAATTATAAAAGTTGGAGATTCAATTCAGATGATGAAAGAATTATTTCTACTCAACAACGTATCGGTATAATCACACCTTATAAGGGACAAGTACGAGAAATAGAGAAACAATTAAAATTAGTTGGTATTTATCACACTGAAATTGGTTCAGTTGATAGTTTTCAAGGCAAACAAAAAGATATTATATTAATATCAACAGTACGATGTAAAAATACGGGCTTTTTAGACATATCAAATCGTCTTAATGTTATGTTAACACGTGCCAAATATGGTGAATACATTTTTGGAAATTTGACCCATCTAAAACAATATGACCACTGGAAAGAACTAATTGATAATGCTATAGGACGGAAACTTTTGGTAGATACTACGGAACCATTTGATGCAATAAAAATTTTTGAAAATTTTGTTACGTAACGGTTAGTTATAAGAGTAAAATTTGTAGAAGAATTCGTGTTTTTGTGTCTGTTTAGTTGTATGATGAGCTAGATATAAAAGTAATAGAAATGTAACTTACCGAGTTGAATGACAAGAAAAGGACAATACAGATTGTTACATATAATTCGGCTAATATGCCAACTATTATTTTTTCTTGCGCAGCTTTTTTCTCACTTAAAGTACTTTATCTCTCCGGATTATTTAACTTATGACACTTTTTCTATTGAATTCGCTCAGCCACAGAGCTATTGACAGGAGTCAACGTCTTTGAACATACGGAAGAATATCATGTGGGTATTTAGAGACCAGGGCTGTAGCCGTACGGAACCAGTTGAGAGTGTCAGCAGGGTCGGTAGAGACCGGTATTGCACCGGTTGAAAATTTTGAAAACTCTCCTCTGCTGACCCTGCTTTTGGTTGTGAAAACTACGATTTCACAGCTTTTTCAGCTAGAATGAATAAAAAGGTGTTCAAGATAGATATTATTTCATCGCTTGTTTTAAGGTTCTCTTTAACACACTCCTTATGTTAAGTGTATCTTTTATATGCGCTCTCGAACTATTTAATTTCTGCTGAACATTTTTTTTGTAAAAATCGATTTCCAAAAAACTTTGCTAGTTTTTCGCCGGTTTGTGTTATAATTCCAACCGGCCGGACCGGACCGGTTTACTGTTTCCAAACCGGTTCCAGCACTGTTAGAGACGATCTTTCATGCAGAAAAAAGTTATTATTATTATGCACTTATATCGAAAAAATATTGAATTCTAAGCAGAGCAGATTTCATCTGATAATGAATTTGTCCTTCAGACCGAAAGCTCTACGTAATTGTTTTTATATCAATTTAAGAGTATAAACAAAAAGCGCATTTGTTACTGGACAAACAGGTCTAAAACTGAATATATCACATTTGCGTCTGTTTCAACGTGTGGTATCATTCATCAAAGCGTGGTACGTCTTTCGCGACATGATATGTGTCTAGGCCAGCGTGTGTCAAATTCTCCTGTCTCTCTGGGATTTATGAAGAATATGAGTATTCTTCTTACTAGCATCCCACTCTCTAGTTTATATCCCGTTCATATATATCTATCGAAGATAACAACCTTGTGTTATAGATACAAGTAAAATGAGACATAAAGATGTACGCTTCAGTGACCATATATTGTTTGTTGTCTTATTCAATACAACATAAGGCTTCATTTCTACTCTAGATGCATATCACCGCATTCAATTTGAACATTTCATTTTCTCGTTCGATTTCCTCTTAGCTTATACGTTTTGGGCAATGTAAAATTGGATATGTTTCGCACACTATTCCATGACTGAAGCACCTTCAATGTTAGAGAAGAAAGCACATAGCAGCTGTTCTAAATTCTAGTAACTACCGCTAAATTGGGGCAGGTGACGGGTCACACACTGAAACTAAGTGTTTTGAGTAGCGTTTCTTATGCTCGTTTTCAGAAGACAACTGAGCTCCAAAGAAAGAGACTTTGAAGCACCAATTATTTTTATTAAATAAGTGAGCATCAAATTAAGAGATATTCAGCGGAGGAAGACTTCAAGGCTCATTTGTAGCTGAGAGATTCATCTTTCAGAATATCTGAATAACCCGATGGGAACTATCGGATGTCTCTAGGAATTAATTTAAACATTTCATTAATAGACTGTACGATAAAATATTTAAATTAATTCATGGAGAAGTCCGATAGGTGCCATCAGTGTATTCAGGTATTCTGAAAGGTAAATCTCTTTGACTATCTGGCAACTGCTTCTTTTTCCAACCGTCAACTACGCCATCTAAAAATCTGATGTCTTCCAGCTCTCCATATCAATAGATTGATTATAGTTTGTACTACAAAATACTAAAAACTGTACATTTTTATCACTTTTCCGTCGAAAGTCATTTAGAAGACATGACTTGAAATGAATAGTAGTTTAACAGCTTCACTTAGTCAGTAATGTCAAACTAACAGCGAAAGTCACGTTTCTATTCTACCATTCACCCTTATTCAGAATGTAGACTTTCAAAAAAGAAATGACAATAAAAGGAGGCTGGTTTTAGTGCTACTAGACTGTTTTAGACAAAAACCAAATGTTTACCGCACATACTGTTACTGAGTGATTCGTGAAATTTTTGCCCTGATAAACTGACGAATCATGTTTATAATGTAAATCTACTTTTCTTACTACGGTTAAAGCTATTCGTTCTAGCTGCGAGATAATAACAATGCTTATCAATACAACTTCATGTTTAGTATTTATTCTATCTCTTGCAATCCTGGTAAAAAATCAAGAATGGGACGGCATCTATGCATGGAATGATCACTGCAATCGTGATGGTTGCGGGTGTCCAATAAACAATACAATAATTAAAACCATTGATAATAATAAATTACAGGTTCAGTTTAACGTTAGTCGTCCATACTCGACAGAAATCACAAATGGCACATTTGTGCTCACACCTGTCGATTATGTTTTCTCACATGCAAACGTAAACTTTTAGCTAAGTGCAAATAGTGCCAAAATTAACATGACGAATAAAGATGCTGTATTTTGTAATGCAGTTGCAACAAAAATAGTTGGAAAAATAACACAAATCGCACCTCAACTACAAGAAAATTCTTCATTTACTGGATATGTTGATTATTTTATATTATTGGTTTCCTGTTTGATTAATCTACACATAACAGGAAATCTTCTTATCTTTTACTAACGTACGTTGCTAATTATAAAAAAGTATACAGTTTTCTTCGTGCTGACATAGATCAATCACATCGAACCATTCCTTTAAATAACTGTTCTACCTTACCATTTATCAAGACACTTTATTAAAGCACGGGCTAGTATCAATTCACCCTTTTGTCTTCAGACCACATCCATGTAGCATAACATATTATTTTGAGTTTTCGTTATAAATACAACTCAAGCAAAAATACTCGGAGCTAGAATCGGGCGGTTGGAGCTAGATAAAACCTCACTATATTGTGATTCTATTTCTCTCTATACTGAACGAAGAAGTCTGATCTTGATTATGAGACAAAATGGCTGTTTCTGAAAAGAAAATCCATTGCCTTTCAGGAAACGAACATTTAGCAGAGTTTTTAAAACGATAACTCTAAAACCTCAAGGACACCTGAAGAAACCTATAAATCAATTTTGATACGAATAGTAAGAAACCAGAACATGAACAAGTTCGAATAGAAATTACTTTCAACCCATCGTTCTTTTTTTTTTTAAACTTTATTTATTGATGAAACAAATAGTTATAACTATTATCGCCGCCAAAATTTAGTGTCCGCCGATATCTTTTGAATAACTTTTTAACCAAAAGAGCTAACGACCTGCGGTTTTCACCGTTGGGTAGAGAACATTGGGGCACGTAAGTCTATGCTAAATTTGATTGGTTAGCAATTGACCAGTCAGGTGAGTTCTTGGTGGACATTTTGAAAACAATATTCTGAAGGCATTT